AAGAATCGCCTCAGAAATCGATTCTAACTAATGAATAATGCACTTCTGTCTTTCCCTGAGAAACAAACCCTTTGCAGAGGTTGAGGCTTTTGAGGAAAATACCTCCACCTAAATGTTAAAAAGGTTTAATTTCCAAGAAGTGGAATGAATTGTGGATGACAGTGGATAAATTTTTCGTTCGGAAAGGAACTAGAAGTGATTACCGTGGTCGTGTGCATCCAACACTAGTGACTTCCCACAGAAAAGAGCACTTTCAGGCTTTTCGGAAAGATGTAAACAAATACGGCGTACGAAAACTGTCACTTGTACAAAATTTTACGATTGTTTTCAGCTTACAAATCAACCCCTTTGGATTTGGAGAAATTTTGTTTTTTTCCTGGTCATATTCTGCCTTGACAGCTAGAATAATATCAGCAGGGGATAGTGGTGGGCCCCTCTCTCTTTTTTTTTTTTCATGCTTACAAATCTCCGTTAAAATTTCCTTCCATATTCTCACACTGTTTCCATCATTTTCTTTATTTTTGTTTGTGATAATTAAACCTTTCTTTTTTTATTTATTTTTTTCAACTGCGTTGGAAAAGAAAATAAGCTCAGTTGATATCATCTACTAAAATAGTACGTTGTACATTGTAATACATGTTCAGCTGGTAACAGTCGGGACTTTTTTTTTGAGCGAAATTGTAATTCCTATTGGCACCTCAAATCAGACAAAGTCTGGTATTTTATTTCATTAAAGTATTTATCATTAATTTAATAATTTATTAAAATTTCATTTATATTATAAATGTATTAAATTTTAAATATTTTGATTATTAATTAATTTTTTTCTATCTTTATTTTTGTTAACCTTTTCTGGCGGCCTTATCTTAGGGCTCTGGGACTTCGAATTTTAAGAAATTAAATCTTGGTTACCATGAAATATTCTCTATGAAGGTATGAAACTTTTCGCAGTTATTTATTAGAGGATAATGAAACTAAGCTAAGTTGATATTTTGTTACATAAAGAAATATAGAAAGTTAGATTTTATATTTGTACAACTCTCGTATTCAGCATTGAAACTATATACATAAAATACTTTACCGTTATTCTGAGAAGCTTCGTAATTCTAAGTTTATATATCAGTAGTTAAAAAAATAAAGCTGCATTAAGTCTCAGTTCTTTGGAGGGAGAGCACTGAGGGAACATCTAAGTACAGCAATCCGACAATACCTAATATAACGTTAATCTATATATTAACATTTGTTTCATATTGAATAAAGTCCAGAGGAGACCTTACTGCTTTTGGCATTTTTCTTTGGAATGTTCCAAAAAGCGCAGTTTATGCAAATAACTCATGATTGTTGAGCAACTGAAGTTAAGAATATTTAATAACAGCTCACAAATTTATGGGCTTTAGCCTAAACTAATTTGTAAGAAAAGCTTAAGAAACTTATATTGAGGTGAAAAGAAGACATTTTGAACCATTCTTGTAATTTACTGTGTGCTGCTTTACTTATTGTAATTATTTTGTTTCCTTAAAATTTATTAATTTAAAAAATAATGCATGTTATTTCCATGTATTATTCTTGAGAAAACAGTATAAATAACAATTTTATAGAATAGAGAGCAGTATAAATTATATTCGTAGAGTACTTATGTAGGAGGATAATCAGTAGGCAGAGAGAGGGCAAATTAATTTTGGTGAAAAGGTTAGGAAAAAGGTGAGCAAAACAGAAAAATCATGGAATGTGTTATGTTTCTGTATAGTGTTGTTTAGAAAATAGTTAATGAGAATGTAACTAAGAATTAATGAGATACTATTATCTTTTTATAGGCACTTATTTTTATTTTTTGTTAAGTACAACATACGTTTCTATTACTCCTTTTAAAAGCATCATTTATGACAAATTTTATGGCTAAAAGAATATTTGCGAAAATAAAAACAGATTATTAACAGGTTGTTGGTTAACAGGATGTTGGGGTATTTAATTTTTGAATTTAATGATTAAAAATACTTTGTTTCTTTGCCTACTTTTCTCTTGCGTACCACCGGTTGAGAATTCGCTTCTCTAGAGTATGACTGAGTTAATATTTTTTAATCATTCTTGTTTTAAGAGTGTGTAAAGAGATCGTTTTATAACCTTCGAAAATTTCAATTTTTTATAGCATATATTTTTGGTTGTTCGAATTAATGTTTGGATGTTCCAATGAAAGAATATAATATTGTGTTACACAATAAATTTTTAAAATGAAATACTGAGAAAAATGTATAGAAAGCCATATAATAGGAGGTTGCATAAAAAAGACCCTGTAGATTTCATTGCAAATAATTCTAAATGCTAATCATTACTGTTGTTTTTGAGATACGAAAGCAAGAAAAAATAGGATGGCGTAATGACATCCCCCCCATGAGGACCATTTTAACCTTGAAGCTACAGAAAGGATATTTCCCCTTTCTGTTTCATATTGTAGCATACTCTACAAAAGGTAGAAAATTGCCTCGTTAATATCCTTTTATCATTCGTATTTTAAAAGAGGGCGAAGAATTAGTTTTGTAATCAGTGAACATTTCCAAACTAACAGATACGTTTTTAGATAGTGACATTTTAAATCATAGACATCAAATAAAGAAAAACTCGCCAAAATTTTAGCCAAAACTCGTGATTTCGGAAAATTTTCTAAAAAATCAGAAATTTTGTTAAAACTTTTATGCAAATTTCATGCGAAAAATCATCTCCGTATTAAAAATATCTGAATAGAATTGAGAAAAAAAATCGCTTCTGCATACTCTATTACGATTAGAAATATTATGTGTATCAAATTTGAGCTCGATAGCTTTCCAGAAAGTAGTTTAAAAATCCATAGCAAATTTTGGCTATAGCGAAAACAATAATAAAGATTTCCTTTGGTTCACAGCTCAGTATTTGGATTTCACCCAATATTTACTTAAAAAACGTTTGGCCTTTGAAGTCTCCAAATATTCCAGATAAAAGTTGGTGGGAGAAAAAAAAATCTGAAAGCCTTCAAATTTTACATTACGCCCAAAGGGGCGTTTTTCTAACGTTTTGTGTGTTACCTTTGTTTATTAAATATCATGTTCTTCTCACTTAAACCATAAAATTTAATTCAACAGCAATATCGCAAAATAATTATAAAATGAGCATATCTTTAGAATTTCCGATATAGTCTTTCGTGCTGGAGATAAAAATGTTCTTTTTTGGTACAGTGTAGCCATTCCTCACTTTGAAATCGTTGAGTTTGTTAATCAAACATTCTTTAATGTCTGACAAAATATGAAATAGAAAATGAAACAAATTCGAAATTTGGCCTTCCAGATGCCCATATTCGCAGTAGGATTATATATTCAAAATTTGATCGCTCTAGGTACCGTCGTTTTATCACAATGCGAGAAACATACATACATTTATGCAGATTCTTCATTATTTAATTTCTTTAAATATAACACAGGGCTGTAATATTTGGTGGTAACAGTTTGAAAAGTGAATCAACACAAAATGCCAAAACGAAATTAATAGTTCTTCTGGGCTAACGCCCTTTGGGCTAAAAAGTGTAAAAGTGTTTTAATTTCTTTTTAAGTACATTTCTTTCTTTCTACATGTATGAATCTGATGAAAATATACAAAATTGATATCGCTGGTATGCAATGAACACTAGTAATGATCACGAGCAACGTTTAAATCGGCCTTTGCCAACCGAGGACAGATGTTTGGGTGGAGGGGATTCATTGTATGAACTAAGAGGTTCATGATAAAATGTTCTTAAGAAAATAATTTAATAATAATAAAATAAACGTATGTTATTGAAAGGTCCAGATATTTGCTGTTAGAAAATGTTCCTGGTACTGGGAAAAAAAGGTCTTTAAATAGAAAATTCACGAGAAAGAAATCATAAGTATTTAAGCAACAACAAATCTAAAAAACGTCAGTCAGTCAAAGGTAGTCGTTTCATTCTATATCGATTAATCCTATCATTGTTGGTGAAATTTATTTTTTGTCTTACTGGATGTTATTACTGTAGAGAACTATAGTTCCTGCAAGTAACTAACAAGCAGTGACAGCTCCTGAGATAAGCAAAGGTGCAACTGAATCCCCTCCATAAAATAAAATACTGATTTTCAGTCAAGCTTTTAATTTTTGTAATTTCCATTTCAATATCCAACTTTTGTTGCATAAAGTTGAAGATAATTGCACAAATGATAATATTAAGATTACTGCCACAAAATTTGAGCCAGATATTAGCATGCAAATATCAAAACATCAGCCTCAAGGATTTCATTAGTAGAGCCTCCCTATTTAATGGCATCCTGTTCAATATCCTTAGGAATAAATATGTGTACATTGTTTGAAATAGTATATTTAATTTTAGATACTAAAAATATGTTTCAGATTTAGTAATCAAAATTTCTAATTTACAGTTTTGATAATATATTGAAATTTTTTAATTTTTATCTTTTATTAACCTATAAGAAATATTTAATTTAGGAATTATTTAGCTGTTTAATTATTAGTTTTTTAGTATACTATATGAATATGACATATGCTTATATGAGGATCCATATACTTAAGAGTTAGGACTCGGGGAATCCACAAGCAAAAAGAGGGTTGGGAACCCTTCATTTAGATCTTATCATTATAAGTACTGCATTTGTAGTAACAGATTTCTAATTAATATGTGATTTCAATCGATATAAATTTATGGTAATACAAGCAGTTGCTTTGTGTAGAAGCAAAAAATATTAAATGTACTTGTTGTGGAAGTGTTTATGTCCTATTAACGCTAAAAACTGCGTGTAGAGATTGAGGCCATTTGCAATTAATTTTCTTGACAGCTAGAAAAGTAAAGCTTAAAAAAAATAGAGACCTTGTCCTCTAATTAAATGACTTCCAACTTGAAAGATAACTGCTTGGAGCTATGAAATATTTATAGAATCGTGCATTTCGTGTTCACTGAACTGTTTCGCTTACCATTTTAAAAGAAATGATAATAGTATGAAGCCTACCTGTGAAATCAAATCCCTCATTCCATTTTCTACGTAGATGGGAAAGGTGAGATTTGACAGTAAAATCATTCCTAAGGTGTCTTCTAAGGATGTGGTTGAATGTATGTCATATGGCCGCTGTAAAAAAGAAATGCTTTAGAATTTCGATAGAAGATGACAAATGTGTAACATTTTCCATCACGTGATTCAGAGGCCCGCGGTCTCTTATATACTCAAGATGGACTCTTCAAAGCTATTAGATCACACCTCCGATTTTTTTTTTTTTTTTTTTTTTTTTTTTTTATTTATTCGAAAGCACGTTTTTAATTTGGGAGGAGGGAGATTGGGCTATTTGTTTTTACCTCCTGATGGCCAGTTTCAAATCTTTCACACATTTTACATTACGTGTTTGAGAATTTTTTAGTTTTAGCAAACTGGAGAAATACATTCCTGATTGTGAAAATTGCAACACCATGATAAATAAGAATTAAATGAAATTTATTCTGCGTATTGGAGAATCGCTGTTGGAAGCGAAAGCGAGGAAGCTGCACAATCCTTGTTACTTTCAGTCCCTTAACTGGAACATGGACTTGACGCTACAGAGGTTCTCTACTACGTAACTCTACAGATACAGACTTTACACTTTGCAGATGAAGAATTGTTAATGTTTGCATCGCCATCTACTATTTTGTGCTTCTTACAGCTAACGAAATAAATATATTTCCACATTTTAATCATATTTCTAGTTTAGATTACCCTTTAATGAGGTTACGAATATTACATTATATGTTATCTTATTACATTCTCTGTTCATCGTGCATAACATGCGTTTAGATAATAATAAAATTTATTGCATGCGTCTTCAACAAATACGATCTGTGATAATACAAAGGAGCGATGAAATGTGTAGAGCAATACAAGAAAATTAAATGTAGAAATAATTACTTGCAAGCCATCAAGCAGAGCAGTGAGATCTCATAATCGTCATGGTGTTGAATCAAGCTGCCTTTGAATCGGCGCTTGAAAAATAGTATTCTATATTGCTTCTATCTGATCATATATACCTATAAGAAATATTTAATTTAGTATAAACAAGTTGATCCGTATTAGCTGCAGGGTAAGTGTCACGAGCAAAGAGCCGGCTTGAGAAATCCAGACATGTTAAATAAGCGACATGTCCAATGAATGAGCAGACCTAGGTTAAAGCAGTATCCAATATGGTGAGAAGAAGTCTAGCAGCATGTGAACATTTCTAGCAGCATGTGACTGACTATTGTCCTCTTGAAGTATTCCTCTAGGAATGCTTTGAGAGTACCTTCATTTTTTGGTTGAGAGGTAATTCTAGAAATATTGGCGAGAAGACCTACAGTTTTTAGTGTTCGAGATGACCCATCTTACTCAATGACGTCCCAGATCATTATCGTTCAATATGACACTAGGCATCTCAGAAGATCATGCTTACCGCTATAGTATCTAAAGCGTACTCGACCATCGTTGTATTCCAATCTGAAGCAAAATTCATCGCAAAAATCGATCAGTTGCCAAATGTCACATCAGTGGCTGTGTTAATGATCTCATTCTAACCACAAGCGTCAAGTGAGTCCTGTACAAAGGAATGCATACACCTACTCAGAATGTTCTGAATACTGAAGAATTGTTGAAGCTGGTAATGGCACATTTACAGCACTGTTCTAACAGTTGCTAACTGTCAAGATAAAACGACACTGTGCATAACTAACATGCGGATGAGGTGTCTGTCATACCGTACTGAAGTAATATTTCGGAGTTCACTGATAGATTTTGGACTTGCCCAGTTCTCTTCGGTTTCTCACGCTCATCACTGAGGAGGTATTGTGCCTCATAACAGCGGCGATTTCAAGATAGGAAAATCTTCCGCCCCACAGCTCAATCATTCTTTCAGTCCAAACGATCAAACATATTCATATTTTAAGTCCTTCTCTAAGAGGCATAGTGCTTCTTCAAAAACCTTTGCTATTGACAGACAACGAAATACTTCTTTTAACGTTGCCCTGCAGCGCTTTAGTTATACGACCATCACAAGAGTTTAGAGGTAGTTAACTCAATCCACTTTTGCACTATCGTTCTGAAGTTATATTCATTTACATAACAAAACCTGTTTAGCGTTTACTATAAATTTCACTTCCTTCATGGTATTACAGCTTTCACAAACAAGAGTGTAAATGACTGAAATACTTAGGCTGAACTAAAAAGTTTCAGTGAAGATACGGATTTCCTCGTTCAGAAACAGGTAACATTGCAGGAGCCCTGTATTTTTCCCTTTTCCAAATATGAAGACTTTGAATTTAATTACACATTTCAAACGTTTTTGAAACCTAAAATGAAGAATTTTGTGATTTACTCTTTTTAGTACTGCGTGACATTTTTCATTTCATTTTCTGAAAAAGACCCTCTTTTCGCGCAGTTTCCTTTTTGACGCTGAAAGTGGTCATAAATCACATGCCAGTCAATATAGGTAATATGCAGGACATTGCCACAGCAGTAACAAGCAGCCGAGCAATGCTTGGAGTAAAACTAGTGTTTTTTGAAAAAAATCTGATCTTTTCTTCCTTATGGCTCCATGTCAATAGCTTTTCATAACAATTATTGAATGTGTAATGTTGACATCCGTAACTTCAGAGGATAGTTTGACAGAATGTGTTTTGTCGGTCACTGATTTGTTATCACCTTGAAGTGGTTACATTACTGAAACTCTGAAGAAGCGCGGACAGATATTTCGTCATCATATGCATATTTAATGTTTGAATGTTTCGATACAGTTCTTCCGAAGAACAAAATAAAGCAGATTAAGCTTTTTCATTCGACAAAGCAGGTTAGACTCTTTCCAAAGCTGGCGTCACTTACTTACAGAAGTAGGAGAAATTCTTCTTACATGCTACGAAAAGCATGAAAATCAAACTACTTCCACTGATACTAAAGGCCATTATTGTGCAGTTGGAAGTTCAAACAGTTTTTCGCTTTCTCTCTATATAATATAAAGTAATAAAGCAGTTCAAAACCTAATTCATTTGAGAACTGAAAGCAACACAAGTGATGGCAATACGTAATGAAAATAAATTAAAATAAATAATGCATTTATAATTCAACCCATATTAATTTGGGAGTAAACCATATGCCAAAACCAAAAATAAAATAAGGAATTATATCTTTCTCTGCATTGTCATCAGGTGTTGATGCGTCATCAGGAGGGTTGGTGTTATTCATTATTTTTTATCTTTTTGTATATATTCATCTACTTCTTTCGTTGCATGCTGCCCCCCGAGAATGATGCAGCGAAAGAAGTGAATTTTTTTTTTTTTTTTTTCATTTTTTGTTCTGACATGATTTGCCTCTTTCCTTGCAGTTTGCCACTTTATTTTTGGTTTTTAGGTTTTTGCATGTGGTTTATTCCAAACTGAATATGGAATAAATTATAAAAATATTATATATATTATTTCATTATACATACATATATATATATATATATATATATTCCATTTAACAAACATTCTCTATTTGTAAAAAGAAAATTTAAAGTTAATTAAATTTTTAAATGAAATTGAATGACAAATAAATCATTAATATTGCTGCGAACTAATAATCTACAATAATCATTTAAATTCTGCGAGCATATGTAAATCAAGAGCAAGTATCAAATCTATGAATATATAATAAATGTATAATATATAATTTCAATGAATATTTAAATCCTAAAAATTTATAAAAAGGCATATGTGTGGGTGTCAGTTTTTGTGTATATATATATATATACAAGTATATATAGACTTAGAGCATTTAAAGTTAATATTAAATTGGAATAAAAGCAAGGCAATTCCTCAAGAATATGAATAATTGCAACCGTGTATTAGAGTTTTTACACAATATCGAAACAAATTAAAACAAGAATTCATATTAGAACCAACTCGAGAAATAATAATGCGAAAGAGAAAATGTACAAATTAAAAAATTAATCTCCTTTTACTAAAAACACCAGGTTAATATTTTCGAAAACGCGTTTCGTTCTCCTGTTCCATTTGAGATCAAAAACCGAAAAAAGTTCAATTAAATTTTCATTTAAGACATTATAATTCATATAAAACCGAAAAATTGAATGTCAAATGTACCAAAATTTTCCGTACAAAGAAAAGGAAAGAAGGAAATGTAATATTTTATCATGTCATGCAGAATACATGTGCTTTAAGTTGGTATTTAAAATTCGATATTCAGTGCGGAATTTCATTGTCTCATTACTACCACAGTTTTCACAGATTAAATGCATCAGATTTTTATATTAGAAATCATTCGATTGCCGCATTTTACTTTCTTTTGCTTAGGTAACAGTGAAAATTTATTTTTTAAGAAAACTGCTTTTATGATAATTTTAATTTAACAAAAAGTGAAATTTTAAATAAAAAAAAAAAAAAAAAAAAAAAAAAAAAAAAAGTATTTTCTGATTTAAGAGTTTAAGAGGGCATCAACAATGAGAAAGTCATAGTTAAAAAAATTTCAATAAGTATATTTTAAGATACTCCAAAGTAATGCGAACAAGACCAAGCTCATTTAATTTTGATAAGGATTTCAAAGAAAAAAATGCATTTCCTTACCTTTCCGCTTAACATCTCGTACCCACATATTCCTAAAGACCACCAATCTGCTGGAAATGAATATCCAGGGCCCAAGTCCAGAAGACATCGATAAACTTCAGGAGCTAAATGAGTAATCCTTTAATCAGATAACATTCTTTATTAATTTTACCACTGTATTTGAAATAACTAATTTGTTCTACACAAGTGCTGAATTTGGTATTAAACAACTCCAATGTAGTACTGATGGCCAAATAATCCGAAACTAATTTCATTTGTTCGTTCAAAACAGTAAAGAACAGGAGGAGTGTCTGCTTAAGGATAAACATGCCTTTATGCAAGCCTTTATAAGTCAGTCTCATATATGTCTTTTTAAGTAGATCTCATATTTACATTACGCATGGGGGAAAACGACTGAATTACCCTGTCATCCAAATACATAGGTTAATCAAAAAAAAAAAAAAAAAAAAAAAAAAAAAAAAAAAAAAAAAAAAAAAAAAAAAAAAAAGCAGAAGCAGAAGCATTTGAAAGGTAATAATTGTGGAGCGAATATTTCCACCCAGGGTGGTTGACAGATGGCGCTAGTTGTCCTACAACGGTTCTACGAGTATCAGTACGTAGTTTAAGTAGCATCAGTACGCAGACATTTAAGAGCGACAGTAATGTCTAGAAAAGTGGTCTCGCATAGAGGTGCGAGCCGTAATTCGACTCTTATGGGCCAAGAATGTGGCCGCATCCGAAATTCACAGACAAATCGTTGAGGTATACTAGGACAAAGCAATAAGTAGACAACAGGTAGCGAAATTGTGTCGTTCTTATCAAGCGGGCAGGGAGCATGTGGAAAACCTCAATATGGAAGCGAGCGGCCGTCCAAGTTCTTCAAGGACGGATATCAACACGGCACGTGTTGAAGAAATCATCCAAAGGGATCGACGAGCAACCGTGCGTGAGACTGCCTCAGAGTTGGACCTGAGTTATGGTAACGTTCAGCGTATCGTAACCAATGAGTTGCGATATTCCAAAGTTTGTGCCCGCTGGGTTCCACGTGCGTTGTCCGCGGAGCACAAGGCCACTCGAATGATGTGCAGCCTCACATTTCTTCAGCGATACCATTCAGACGGCCAACACTTCATTGGTCGCATCGTTACCGTGATGAAACATGGCTTCGTCACTTCACCCCCACATCCAAAAGAGCCACGATGGAGTGGAAACACGCTGGATCACCGACGAGGAAGAAGTTTAAGGTCACACCCTCTGCCGGTAAAGTGCTGGCAACTGTTTTCTGGGATACGACTGGTGTTATCCTAATCGAGTATTTGGAGCGTGGCCATACCATTAAGGCCAATCGTTATTGTGCGACCTTAACGAAATTGCGTAAAGCCATCCGACGCAAAACGGCCTGGATTACTGAGCAAAGGCGTCATTCTTCTGCATGACAAGCCAGGCCCTATACAGCTCGCCAGACTCAGGTTTATTGCTGCAAGGTTCAAGGGTGGGAGGTCTGGAATCACCCCCCCCCATACAGCCCCCCGATTTGGCTCCAAGTGACTATTTCATTTTTCCGGCGTTGAAGCGATACTTATCTGGAACACGGTTCACCTCAGACGATGCAGTGAAAACAGCTGCAGAGAAATGGCTCAGTGAGCAGGGCCCTGATTACTACCAAGACGGGATAAACAAGTTGGTCGAACGTTCTGACAAATGCCTAAACAGGTTTGGCGACTATGTGGAATAGTAAAGGCGAGATGTGTCTCTTGATTTCCATTTGTATCTTGTTTCAATTGTTAATAAATACTTTTTCATTTGCCTTGTAAATATTTTTTTGGGGATCATCCCTTGTAGTTCAGCAGGATTTGAACTCGGATCGAACAACCAGTGGCAAAATAAATAATTCGATGGAATAGGAACTGATATAGTGTAGACGAATCCAAACATATGATTCTCAAATATCACGTAGGATAATATGAAAAGTAATACTTGATCTTAGACGCTGAAAGAATATTTTGTACTGAGCTTTTATTTTAATGCTTTTAAAACTGTCTGATCTGATAACTCAACTCTGGAATCTATCTGAAGTCCGCGATATAGAATACTTATTTAGGAAGGATGAATAAGGTAAGATACAAATCAAGATATGTATTTACTTTAGATACTGGTTTGTTATCCTTACAGTTCATTGAATTTTGTTACTGACCTCTATCATTGGTATAGAGTTTTCATAAAAAGCAATAGTTGTTTGTACGTATTCCCGGTAATTTAATCCACCGCAAAAGAGTCCAATATAGTGCTGTTTGTGACGACAACTAATCGAAAATCTTAGCAATTTTTTTAATTGGTGTCAAATAGACAATCATTAAGGAAGATTAAGAGAATAGTTATGATTTTGTTTTCTGGATTGACGATATCTAATCTAGAATTGTCGAAATTTCACGAAAATTTGCCCGCCTTAATAAATTACTTCAATAAGTAGTGCATCATTCTTGCATGTAGCTTCTCGTTGATCCATATGAAAAACAGTTTTTCAACGTTTTCGAAAATACGTGGCCGTTGCGTATAAATTCTTGACACACCCTTTTGAAATATCCATTTCCTTAATTTTACGCTTGTTTCTGAGAATAGTGCAAATCTTTGATGTGGACTGATTATATGTGCGTGTTAGGCCAGTCACGCTCATGCCTTGTTCTCGTTTGTCGTTCGCTTTTTAGGGTGATTTTTTTTTTTTTTTTTTTTCTAATCCCTGTCGTCTTGCGGCATTTTCTTTGGGGACAAACGCGTAAGTTTGCTTAAACTCTGAATACAATTTTCACAAGCGACAGTAAGTAGCTAGTTGAAAGAGCGCGAAACACAGACTAATATCTTCGACCGTGGTAAAATGCAATCTTGGTTATCATTCTGCCAAAACACATAGGCTCGTCCAAAAGGGGTGTTAACTACGTGCCGTAATACATGCTCCAACAATTTGCCCACGTTCGAAGTCTGTTAATTCGGACATAATGCAATGACAACCTCACACATAACAGTACTCCGACAACAACTGAACTGTTTAGCACATTTACGAAGTTGTATAGGTGGCGTCAGTAGTCAAAAATGCCAGCGCCACCTACATATTTCATTAAAATCAATTTTTCTTTTCAAACATGCATTTGACAAGGTGTTTCCATATTTTTGTCCATCCACTGTATGAAGGAGTCGCATGAGAGTTCAATCTTCGCCGTAAAGAGGGGAATTTATTATCGAATTTATTATATATTATATATTTATATAGGGAATTTATTATATATTATTTTATTAATAGTTAAATTTTGAGTTAAATTTCCTTTCCTACCGATTCTTAACTTCAACTTACCACTTCCGGTTAGAAAGTAGTTCTACAATCACGTCTGAATACATAATGAGGAAGAGCGGTATTTAACCGCGAAGTTCTTCGGTCTTAGTGAGAGAGATACTAGACATTCTGGATAGCAAGCGTCCGTCTTTTTAGGCTACTCTCTCGTAAACTATTATTACGCTTTAGGCCCCTTGATACGTACTTTATGATGAAGACGTACTTTAGGCCCCTTGATAGCTTCGCAGTCAATTAACGTTAAGGGACCAAGTCTGTTAGAATTTTGATAGCTTCGGCTATATCTCTTTAGTTAAGATCAGTTTAATTCTTAGTCTCTTAAGTTCAAGCCCGAGTATCGGCTTTATTGTACACTCCAAGACGGAGTTTTGTTAAACTTTAGTTGGAATAATAAAGGGTTATTTTACCTTGCTATCTTGTTGTTTCCTGTCACACGAACTCAAGCGATTATTCGTTTATCAGTTCTTAAGATTCTTCACTTACAACAGTAACTTAGAATTACACAGTGAGGAACCCTACATACATTCCGGCTGTATTTTATGATTTTTCTGTGAAAAATTAGCAACGCCTTCGCCGGGAATCGAAACACGGACCTCTGGAATACCGGCCCAGTGTGTGACCACACACCCCGCGCTAAGGCGGAGAAATTTATATACTCCCCCTTTAAAGGGCGACTGGGGTTTAGGGGACCAGTCGCCAATTGGGTGTGAAGATCATCATCCACCCTTTATTCGGGCCACTTTAGAGATAGGATTTTTGGAAGGAAGATATGGTCACTTTACTTAACCTGTTCCGCCAAACTGAGTTAATGGCACTACAGGGTTAGGAAGTTATCCTATTCATTGCTAGCAATCTGACGGTTAGGCCGCCTTTCTACATTTTACTTTAATCTGTAGTTTCTTGGATATAATTATTTTCATTCACTTGCTTCATTATCTCTAAGATGCCCTTGTTGCAGTAATAGTCCGTGAACAGTCTATTCACAGGATATGTGATGTAGTCGGAAGGAAAGAACTGCTGTCGAAGGTGCTCTGTCAGAGGGCAGGAGAGCAGGTAATGAAGTGCGTCCGCGTCTTCCCCGCGAAAACCGCAAGAACAGTTGACGTCCCGTCTGAGGAAACGTCTGTAATACGCTGGGAATTTCCCGTGGTTGGTACAGGCTTGGAGGAAGAGTCGGTTGCATTTCAGCCTCTTGAGAGAAGGTATTGGGAAGATGTTGTAAGTAAATCTTCCTGTCTCTTCTTCCTGCCATCGTGATGACCATGTCTCTTGAAATGCTGTCTTGAGGAGCCTTTTTGCAACTTCTGCGGAAAGCGGAACTTCCTTGTCAATTTCTGGTTTGAGAGCTGCAGTCTTAGCTAGTTCATCCGCTCGTTCGTTGCCTTTCTGCCCGGTATGTCCTTTTATCCAGTTGATCTTTAAAGGTATGGAAGAGCCTAACGTCAAGAAGATCTCTCTAAGTGCTGCCGTGTGCGGATGTTTTGGAGGAAAGGAATTCAGCGCATTCAGAACGCTCATGCTATCTGTGAAGAATGAAGTGTGAGCTGCTGGTTGTGTACCTAACCATAGTGCTGCTTCTTTGAGTGCTAGGGACTCGGCTTGGAAGACTGAAGCATGATCGCTTAGACGGAATTGTGCTTGATAAATTTCTTCATTGTTCGAAAAGACCGTGAACGCTGCCCCTACTCGTCCTGAAATTTTTGAACCGTCAGAAAAAAATCTCTCTTTGTTGTCCTGAGGGTGGCGATTTGCACCAGGAAAGGATGGGTAGATCTCCTGGGT